CTGTAGGGAAGGTTTCAATGTGATTTTGCTGTGTGCCTGTACTGCAGTAGCAGAGGTGACAAGCGAAGTGTAGCAAAGCTAAAAGAAAAAAAAACAATTTCTTTCCAGAATTGCCACCAGGCCAAAACTATAACAAAGTAGAGGCACTTGGGTGTGTGATTGCTGTGGATGAGTTTTTGGGAAGCAGGGTGGCAGGGAGGAGGGGGAGCACCGGGGTTTGTCTGTGGGCAGGCTCGGGTTTGCGCTGTGGCACCAATCGATGCCATCGCTCTGGGCACAGCACGAGCTGCCTGTGGGGGTGACAGCAGTGACAGCAGTGACAGCCAGTCAGCACTGCTGCTGCTGCCCTGCCCAGGGGACTGTGGCATGCTCAGGGCTGTGTGTGTGTCCCTGCAGGCCGCAGGGGTGTGTACAGTGGCTGCTCAGGGCTGCAGATCGCCTACCTGAGCGGCACCGAGGCGCAGCAGCAGCCGGAGCCCGCGCACTGCTTCAGCGCCAAGGACGTGGCCGAGCTGAAAACCTCTCTGCTGGCAACCCCAAACTTCAGGGGTGTGGATATACTGCTGACCTCCCCCTGGCCCAGAGATGTGGGCACTTTTGCCAACAGCGCGGTGAGTGGTCTGTTCCTGGGGTTTCACTGAGTGTTGCCTCTCTGCTTCCTCTCCAAGTTCTGGTCACCCTCTCTAAGGGCTTGAGAAAGCTGGGAGTAAAAACAGGTAGAGCAGGTGTTCTGTTTCTTTAGAGAAAACTGAAAGGAGAGGGATTTGTGAGACTTCAGGGCATTTTAGCTGTCCCTGCCACTTTTTAAGTGTTTTGGTGTTTATTTCCTTAAGTATCAGTCAGAATCTCTCCAAGTGCTTGAGAAAGCTGGGAGTCAAAACAGGGAGAGAAGATGTTCTGGTCCTTTAGAGAAAACTGAAAGGAGGGGCTTTGTGAGACTTCAGAGGATTTTATCTGTCCCTGCCACTTTTTAAGTGTTTTGGTGTGCTTGAGAAAGCTAGGAGTAAAAACAAGGGAGAGCAGGTGTTCTGGTTCTTCAGAGAAGAAAGACTGAAAGGAGAGGGATTTGTGAGACTTCAGGGCATTTTAGCTGTCCCTGCCACTTTTTGTTTTGGTTTTGATTTCCTTAAATATCAGTTAGACCCTCTCCAAGTGCTTGAGAAATCTGAGAGTAAAAACAGGGAGAGCAGATGATCTGCTTCTTCAGAGAGAGCTGAAAGGAGAGGGATTTGTGAGACTTCAGGGCATTTTATCTGTCCCTGCCACTTTTTGTTTTGGTTTTGATTTCCTTAAATATCAGTTAGACCCTCTCCAAGTGCTTGAGAAATCTGAGAGTAAAAACAGGGAGAGCAGATGATCTGCTTTTTCAGAGAGAGCTGAAAGGAGAGGGATTTGTGAGACTTAAGGGTATTTTAGCTGTCCCTGCCACTTTTAAAGTATTTTGGTGTTGATTTCCTTAAGTATCAGTCAAGTGGTCTGGTTCTTCCTCAGTCTGGATTTTGAGGGTGTTGTTTCATTTGTGTCCAATTTTGTGTTAGTGTTCCTCAGCAGAAGTGATTTTCAGATTATTTGAGACCTGTCTGCACAGCAAGGCCACACATGTGGCAAAAGAACATTTTTTACTTTCTCAGATTTTTTCAGCATCCAAAAATGGTTACAATCCTCAGTTTAAATGCATGAGGAACCTTCCCTCACAGCGTGATAACCAACCCTGCTGCCCTTGGAGGTTGTAGAGAAAGATTTGTTGGGATGTTCTGGCTTAGAGAGAAAACTCAGATCTCAGAAGTTCCCATGTAGCTGTTCTATGTCATTCTATGTTTGACTTCCCTTGGCATGAATTTTCTGGGAATGTACTCACTGGAGTGTACAGAGAAGTATATTAAACCTTTCTTTTCCCTGCTCTTGGAGAGGTTTAAATAAAGCTTGGTTTGTGTTTTCTAGGGAGAAATAGATACCAAGAAGTGTGGCTCCAGGCTGGTAGCAGATCTAGCTGCAAGTCTCAAACCAAGGTATCATTTTGCTGCCCTGGAGAAGACCTACTATGAAAGACTTCCTTACAGGTTTGTAAAATCATGTGAAATCTCATTTATTTTCAAGTAAGGATTCAGTTTTTAAGGAACACAGAAGGACTGGTGTGCTGTCTGAGTATCTTCATGGCAGGCAGGGGTTCTCTCACTGTCCTTTCAATACTTTATGTGCCATTACAGCCAGGTTTTGCTTCCTTACAGGAATCACATGGTGCTACAGGAGACCCCACAGCACGTCACCAGGTTTATTGCCCTTGCTGATGTTGGCAATACAAGCAAGAAAAAGGTACTGACACCCTTGAATCTTCCTTCTTTTCTCAAGTACAGTAATGGGGCAGTGAGAGCAGTTAGAGGACAACATCAGGCACCTAAAAGCTTGGCTGAAGTGGAGTGTCTCACTTGAGTAATAGATATCACTCTCCTGTTATGTCAAAGGGTAAGGGCTGCACGTGGTGTTCTCAGGCAAACCACTGAAAATAAACTTCTGCCATGAGGTTTTTAACCTGTCCCTCTTCTCCCTTTAAGAAAGTTAAGGAATATTGGTTGGTAGTTAAGGATGCACAGGATCCAGGCCTGGTAATAAAAAAGGCCAGAAAGAAGGCCTGGAAACGGGCAGGAATCAGGGATGCACTGCATGAACTCCTGGGTGGGACCCTGGCACAGGGGCTGTGTTTTTCCAGTTTTTCCATGCCCTGCCTTGGCACAAACACTGATGTGCTGAGGGGTGTGGAGCTGTTCTGGGGTGTGTTAGTTCATAAATGATGGCAGGAGCTGCCTGTCCCTGATTGCCTGTGTTTGCTGCAGTACCTCTATGCCTTCAGCATCGTGCCCATGAGCTCCATGGACCCTGCAGAGCTGGTGAAGCAGCCTCAGGACGTCACCGAAAATCCCTACAGGAAACTCAGGAAGGAGGCTCCCAAGAGCAAAGCTCCTCTCTCTGCAGAGGTACTGCCCTGTGCTCCTCCCTCTGGGCCTTCTGCTTCACTTTCTGTGCTCACAGCACTGCTTGGCTTTCCCTTTGGGATATCTCTGTCCAAAACTGCCGTGGGGACAGGCTGAGGGAGCTGAGGGTGTTCAGCCTGGAGAAGAGAACTCATTATGGCCTTTCACTTCGTAAAGAAGGACTATAAGAAATATAGGGACAAGAGTTTTTTCCTCTTCAGCATTAAAGCCTTCTCATGGCATTTGGCTCTATGAGATAACTCAATCAAATGTTTTCAACCTCTGGAGAGTCTGTGACTGGTTAACATCTCTAAGAAATAAAGCCATTCTTTTGACACTGGCTGGCAAATGAAAAGATTTGAATAATCCATAAAATCTGGCAATTCTGAATGATCAGCATAAGGCTGAATAGGAGAGCATAATGGTTTGGGGCAGCTCTCCCTGAAGTTTTTCCCTGACTGAGGCAGGCAAAGTTGGCTGCATTACTAAAAGAACAAGTAATTCTGTTCCAGGATATTCAAAAGGCATTTCTTCCTGGAAAGGGTGCTCAGGCCTTGGCAGGGGCTGCCCAGGGAGTTCCCATCCCTGGAGGTGTCCAGGGAAGGGCTGGAGGTGGCACTCAGTGCTCTGGGCTGGGGACAAGGTGGGGATCATGGTGATGGTGGGGACAACTTGGACTCCATGGGCTTGGGAGGGTTTTTCCAGCCTCAGAAATTCTGTGATATTGATGCTTTTCAAAAGTGGTTCACAGCTCTTCAGGAAAAATCAAATCAAATCTATATTCCATCACTTTCTGTGACGCAGCTCTAACTGAACATAATCCTGTTCACTTTTCATTTCCTAAACAGGAAGAACCAGCCTGTCAGTTTTTCTTTGACTTGAACAAGCATCAGGGAAGGAAACGTCCCTCAGATGGAAAGGAGAGAGGGGACTCCCAACCTAAACAAGCCAAGAAACCCCGTAAGTGTGAGGATGATTTATTCCTGAGTTCTTCCCTCGAGGCTTTGGATGAACCACATCACACCAAGTTGTTCCTCAAGCTGTTGAGCTGTAGGTGACAGGGCCAGAGAGCTCTGTCACTGCCAGCTGCTGGGGGAATGCAGGAGGATGAAGAGTCCCTGGTTTCCAAGGGAAGATAGGCTTCAGCAGGTGAAAGAAGAGCATAGTTTCAAAGCTCTTTGGGTCTGTGGTTAATTGGGCTGGTGGCATTGATTGGTTGTGGTTGGGCTGATGGCATTTGCCCTCTGAACCAGACACTTCCAAAAAGCTCAGCTCAGGTATCACAGTTTGGGTGTGAATCCAGGTGGTTTGGGTGATGGATAGGCCAGAACTGACAGGTGTGTTTGACAGCATCTGCCCTTGTCTTTACTGTGCAGTAATTTTACCTCCTTTGGATTTGTGTGCTTACATTTGCTGGTGTTTTCTTATTAGTAAGCTGCAACTACTAACTCCTGGAACTCCTAAATTCCTTCTTCATTCCAGGAGAATGGCAGTCAGCAGGGTCTGACTGCCACCACCTCCTTTCTTGCTGGAATGTCCTGGCCAGAGCTGTGTCCTTCTGACACCTTCAGCACTTTATAAACTGGGCAATACCAGGTTGTCTGTGTTCTGACAAATATCCCTTCTGCTAATCCTTGCTTTCTTTCCCACCAAAGCTCAGCCCACAGGGCCCTGCTGGTTCTGCCTGGCCAGCCCAGAGGTGGAGAAGCACTTGGTTGTCAGCATTGGCACACATGTAAGTACCTGCAGCATGGGCTTTGGTAGGTCAGAGTCATGCTAACACATGGCAGTACAAAATACCAATCTCCAATTTTAAACATAAAACAAGCAAACTTTATTTCCAGCTGGCTCTTGGGCTTGCTTTCAGTTTCTTTGCATCTCCTTTACAAGCACATAAACTCGTAAAAAGTGGATTCCAATACCAGAACACTTTTTGCTGTGCCAGCCCTCTGTTACCGTCTGGCAGAACTTTTCCAACTGGAAGAAAGCTGGAACCTGCTTTGGCAGCAGGATGCACCAGGGCCAGATCTCTGGGATGCCTGATTACAGATTTTGTTCTATAAAGATGAAAAAGAAGGTGTCTCCATTATGTACTTCAAAATGTTGACTTTGAAGCTCAGTCCATCATTGTTTTATGCACTTTGCTCAAAGTTACTGCTCCTGTACAGCATAATCCACTTACAGGGACAGGTTTGTCCACAGGTTTAGTTTAAATTTTAAGTGGATTTTTGTGTCAGAATAAGAAATTCCTGCCTCAGTGGTGAAATTCACTCAGCAGCTTCCCTGCACACAAGGCATTCAAAAGATACTATTTTTTTTTGTCCTTTGGCAGTCTCTTTGTCTCTTTCTCATTCCTCTAGTGAAAAATAAATTCAATATAAAAATAAATTCAAATAAAATGGCTAATAAACAATCCCTAATAAGCACCACAGAAGACTCTCCTGTTCCTGAGGCTACTCAGAATGAGTAGTCAGAGTGTAAATTCCCTCAGCACAGTGAGTAACTGGTGTGTGTTGTTTCACTCTAGTGCTACCTTGCCCTGGCCAAGGGGGGTTTGTCACCTGACCATGTCCTGATTTTGCCAATTGGGCACTATCAGTCAGTGGTGGACTTGTCTTCAGAGGTGCTGGAAGAAGTCACCAAGTACAAGGCTGCCCTAAAGGAATTTTTCAGGAGCAAGGGGAAGAGATATGTCCTTTTTGAAAGAAACTATAGGAGTCAGCATCTACAGCTACAGGTATGGTTTGGGTGTCACCCTGGGAAAACATAAACTCGCACTGAATATAAACTCCAGATGAACTGAAAGAGCCATTTTGGGGTTTGTTGTGGTGGTTGCTGTGTGTGGCAGCTCTGTAAGTGTATCAGAGCTGTATCAGAGCTACCACAAAGATGACTAAGGAGAGGGCTGTGCTGAGAGCTTTCAAGCTTGGAGTTTTCACCTCTGTCCAGCTCCTACAGGAAAAAACTCTCATAAGTTTAAGCCTGTAGAGATGGGTGCTCACCTGTCTCGTGTGATGAGGCTGAGCTGAACTGAGGAGCCACGAGCTCCAGTGATGCACTGATGGCTTTCTGCAAATGGATTGTCTTGTCTTCTTTTATGGAAATGTCCTCCCTCTCCAGGTCATTCCTGTTCCTCTGGACCTCTGCACTTCTGAAGACATCAAGGAGGCCTTTATTACACAAGCCCAGGAGCAGCAGATCGAGCTGTTGGAAATCCCAGAGCACTCGGATCTCACGCAAGTACGGGGCCAGATTTCACCTCTTCACTTCCCCCTGTCCTGCCCAAGCTGCTGCTCCCCTCTGAGCTCACTCTGTGGGGTGGGGTCAACCTGTTGGAGGCAGAATCTCATGGGCTTGATCTGGGAATGTGCCAGGATTCTGCTCTGGGAGCAGCTCCCATGAACAGCAGATGATTTCTCAGCTGAGAATTGTGAGCGTGGCCTCATCCTCCAAAAATGTGTTGCACCAAGCTGGGGTGACCTCAGTGAGGTTGGGAATGACCAGACCTGCCTGTTTCTCATGTAATCACTCACAGCAGAATTAAACCTCAAAATACCATAGGTGATCCCAGCAGGAAGTGACCCACTGCACCTTCCTCCATGGAAGGTATTGTTTGAGCACAGGCACTGACCCCAGGCAGTTTGTGGGGTTATTTTTCCAAGTTTCCTCCCAGGAGAGAGGACCATGGCATGGGGACAACTGTGTCCCCAGCCCCTGAACTGGCTCTGCCTGTGCCCTGGTAGCCCTTCTCAGAAGGGTGATTAGGAATGAGCTGCCCAGGAGGGACATTGGAAGGGGCTGCTCGGGAGGGACATTGGAAGGGGCTGCCTGGGGAAATGGTGGAGTCGCCAGCCCTGGAGGTGTTTGTGGTACGGACTGGCATGGCTGTTAGTGCCATGGTGCAGTGAACGATCTGGTGATCAGTCCTAGGTTGGAGTAGATGGTGTCAGAGGTGTTTTCCAGCTGATCTGATTGTGTGGTTCCCGTGGTGCAGGTGGCTCAGCCGGGGATGCCGTACTTCTACGTGGAGCTGGACACGGGGGAGAAGCTGTTCCACCGCATCCGCGGCCGCTTCCCGCTGCAGTTCGGCAGGTGTGTGCCTGCCCCCCCCACGAAATGACATCACTGTGATGTCTCGATGACGTCACGGTGACGCCACGGCGCTGTCGTTGCAGGGAGG